TGCCGCTGGAGGAAAGAAGCTGCGAAGGTACAACCTGTGATGACTGAAAGTGAAATAACTTCTGCTTTTATTCAAGCTCAGGAGCCTGAGTATTATGAAAGGATGTTGCCAATGATGGGACAGAAGTTTTCGGAGCTAATCAGAATGGGATAAGCCATAGAGGATAGCCTTAACTCTGGAAAGGTTACAAGTCTCACTGCCTTGCAGGCCACCAACAAATCCTCACCATTCATGGCCACAGGATTCGCTAGGAAAACGAAAGAGGATGTGTCTCCTGTATCTTTTAGCTCGAGGCCAAGGCCGAAAAGCTATTTAGGGTCTGGTTCTGCTATTGGAAACTCTAACCGATTCCCCACCTCAAATATTTACCCATCATCTCCACAAGCTCCAATCCCAATCTACTATGCACAACATAACTACCAAGCACTACCGCCTATCTACCAAAATCAACCACCAACCTACCAAAATACACTACTAAATCACCAAGCCAATGCATCGGTCTACCAAAATCTCAGACAAAACAACCCATATGCCAACAATCTACCCCGCCCTAACCTCGAAAGAAAGCCTCCCAGAGCTTTCACTTCCTTGGCAGAAACACGTACCCAACTATTTGAGCGTCTAAGAGCGGCAGGATTGATCTAACCAGTAGACGCAAGGATAATTAATCCCACAACAAAGTTCTTCTGAGCGGATCAACGTTGTGCGTACCATTCTGGAGGGGTAGGACATGATACAGAAGGATGTATCAATCTGAAACATAAGATTTAAGACTTGATCGATAACAGAGTCATCACTCTCCAAGCCCATTCCCCCAATGTGAACCTTAACCCATTACCGAATCATGGAGGAGCTACCATCAACATGATTGAAAGAGAAGAAAATTGGCTTGCTACTTGGACTATCGATAAAGTAAATGTCAACTCACTTATAACAACAGTGGCCTCATTGACCATAAAGGCCCGTCCAGAGTTTGTTGTAATAAATGCACCTCATCAAGTATTCGCTTTGACAAAGGAAAGCAATAACGAGCAGCCCAAAGAAAAGTTTTTTGTACAAGCGGCTACCGCACAAGGGATGACACGTTCTGGAAGATGCTATATTCCAGAAGAACTAACTCAGGAGACACGAAGAAAGGAGAACCAAAAAAGGTCGATCATAGAGGGTGAGGCTGAAGAGTTTTGGCGAAGAATGTAACCTAAGGAGTATTTCATTGTCAAGCATTTGGAGAAGACTCCCACCCAAATTCCTGTTTGGGCTCTATTAATGAGTTATGAGTACAATCGAAAAACACTGTTGAAGGTACTTGATGAAGCATATGTACCGGCAGGAACAAGTGGTGAGAATTTGGCCACTATGGTAAGTGATTTCATTGGGGGTCACCAAATCTCCTTTCAAGAAGAGAAGTTACTAATCGAATGAGTGATGCACACCGTGCCTTGTATATCACCGTCAAATACAGGGACAAGTTTGTAGCTCGAGTATTGATTGATAATGGCTCAGGGCTCAATATATGCCTATTAGCAACCCTTACTCAACTAAATTATGATATAGGAAAAATCCGTCAAAGCCGCATTATAGTAAGGGCGTTTGATGGTTCGCAAAGAAAGACCATGGGGGGAGTAGACTTGTGTATCCAAATGGGGCCTGCAAAATTTGTCACTGAATTCCAGGTGATGTGTATATCTATAAGCTACAACTTATTGCTAGGAAAACCATGGATCCATGCGGTCGGAGCAGTTCCATCCACATTGCATCAACTTTTGAAGTTCATTTAGGAGGACCATGAAATTGTCATTCATGGTGAAGGGAGTGATCGTAGGTACCCTGGTTTCTCCATTCCAGTTATTGAAGAGTCTTCTCAAGGTACTGACTTTCACACGGTAGAGATAATGAATGTTGTTTTGGAAGATGCGACACCGCAAGTACCAATGTCGTCAGTGTATAAAATGTTTGCCACAAATATGCTAACGAGCGGTTTTGAACCTGGGCGTGGGTTAGCTAACAATTTGGATGGCATATCTGAACCTCTTCTTATCCCACTTCAAAATTTCCGCTTTGGCGTCGGTTATACCCTAACAGAGGAAGATTTGTTTGAAGCAGAAACAAGGAAAAAACATGATTGTGATATACCGAAGCCTATTCCAGTATTGTACCAGACATTTGTTGCTAAAGCTTTAGAGCATGAGATTGATGGTCTAATAGAAGGGATGGGAAGATTGTTTGATGAAGAAGATTGTGATGTGATCTCGCCAGAATGCACCACAACACCCACCATCCGAGATGCCGGACCTGGAGAGATGCTAAAGAATTGGATGGCCACTCCACTTATGATCCATCGAATGGCTTGGTAGACAAACACAAGATTTGAAGTTTTATTTTTTGAAAATCGGTGTTGTTCGGACGAGGCTCAAAACCACCATTTCTGTCACTTTATTTTTCATCGTAATGTTTAAAAAGGAAATGACTTATGAGTCATGACCAAAGTTTGTATGCCTTTTTAAAATTCCAATGAAAGCCTTGTTTATTTTAAAATTGATTATCTTGTCATTGCGAATTATTCTGCAATAAATACATTTAAACTCTTTCTATCTAACATGGTTGATTTGCTGTTCTTTTCAGTAAAAATGAATCTAAACCTGCCAATGTCATGACGTGTCACGAACACGACGAACCAAGTAAAGTCGATGAAGATGAATGTGAAGAATATGATGAGGAAACTATGATACATGAACACCTTACCGAGAACTTGAAGCAACTTGAAGACGATAGAAAGCCCAACCTGGATGAAACAGAGACAGTAAACCTGGGAGATGACGAGTCAGTCAGAGAAACCCGAGTCTGTGTCCATTTGGCAGCAACAGAAAGAGAAGAATTGGTCAAGCTGCTCAGACAATACATCGATGTGTTTACCTGGTCTTATGATGATATGCCAGGATTAAGCACTGATATTGTTTCCCATAAGCTGCATATCAATCCAGAATATTGCCCAGTAAAGCAGAAAAACAAAAAGTTCAAGTCAGATCTGAGTTTAAGGATAAAAGAGGAGATCATGAAGTAGATCGAATCAAAAGTCGTTGAAGTGATCAAGTATCCTACTTGGCTGGTCAACATTGTTCCAGTGGCGAAGAAAGATGGAAAAATCAGGATATGCGTGGATTATTGGGATCTCAACAAAGCGAGTCCAAAAGATAATTTCCCCTTGCCGAATATCCACATAGTCATCGATAATTATGCTAAGCATGAGTTGCAATCTTTTGTGGATTGCTTTGCGGGATACCACCAGATTCTAATGGATGAAAAAATGCAGAAAAAACATCATTCATCACACCTTGGGGAGTCTACCATTATCAAGTGATGTCGTTCGGCCTCAAGAATGCTGGAGCCACTTACATGAGAGCTATGACCACCATTTTCCATGATATGATCCACAAAGAAATTGAGGTGTATGTGGACTATGTCATCATAAAATCCTGAGACAGTTCGGATCATCTGACACACTTGGAAAAGTTCTTTAACAGGTTACGTAGGTATGATTTGAAGTTGGGCCCAGCCAAATGAGCATTTGGAGTACCTACAGGGAAGTTACTCAGATTCATAGTTAGCAGAAGAGGTATCGATCTTGATCCTTCCAAGATCAAGGCAATTCAAGAGTTACCTCCTCCAAAGACTATGAAAGAAGTAATGAGTTTTTTGGGGAGACTGAATTACATTAGTCGATTCATAGCTCAATCAACGGTGATATGTGAGTCCATATTCAAGTTACTACGAAAAGATGCGCCAACCAAATGGACCGAAGAATGTCAGAAGGCTTTTGACACCATCAAAAGTTACCTTTCGAATCCACCAGTGTCGGTGCTGCCACGTGCAAGCAGTCCTTTGCTATTGTATTTATCCGTCTCCGACAATGCATTCAGGTGTGTGTTGGGACAACATGATGAGACCGGAAGAAATGAGAGAGCTATATACTATTTGAGCAAGAAGTTCACATCCTATGAGTCTTGTTACACCCTTTTAGAGAGAACTTGTTGTGTTTTGACTTGGGTTGCTCAGAAATTGAGACATTATCTGTCGGCTTATACAACACATCTCATTTTGAGGATGGACCCGCTCAAGTACATATTTCAGAAAGTAATGCCCACCGGAAAGCTAGAAAAGTGGCAAATGTTGTTGAGTGAGTTCGATATTATGTACATGACTCAGAAAGCAATCAAGGGGCAAGCATTGGCCGATCACCTTGTTGAAAACCCAGTAGATTAAGGATATAAACCGCTTAGAACATATTTCCCTGATGAAGAATTATTGTTTGTAGGGGAAGACATATCAAAATCATATCCTGGGTGGAAAATGTTCTTTGATGGAGCAGAAAACTCTATAGGATCAGGAATTGGAGCAGTGTTGATATCCGAATCGGGGCAACATTATCTAGCAACAGCAAAACTTAGATTCTGATGCACTAATAACATGGCTAAGTACGAAGCATGTATTCTTGGCATTAGAATGGATCTTGACATGAATGTTCAAGAATTACTGATAATTGGTGAATCAGACTTATTGATTCATCAAGTTCAAGGAGAATGGGCCGTGAAGAATCCTAAAATCTTACCTTACATATAATTGGTACAGAGATTATGCAAAAGATTTAGGAAGACCGAGTTCAGACACACACCGAGAATACAGAAAGAGCTTGTTGATGCCCTTGCAACCATATCGTCCATGATACAAACCCAGAAAAGAGTTATATCAATCCACTTGAGATAGTTTTAAAAGAACAACCAACATATTGTTCACATGTGGAAGCAGAATGGGATGGTAATCCATGATATATCGATGTGAAAAAGTATTTAGAAGCTGGCGAATATCCGGAAAAAACAACAAGTATTCAGAAGAAAACTATCCGAAGAATGGCAAACAACTTCTTTTTGAATTGAGAGGTTCTTTATAAGAGGACACCCGATCTGGGATTACTGAGATCTGTGGATGCTGCAGAAGCCACAAAAATGCTTGAAGAAATGCACCCTGGAGTGTGTGGGACGCACATGAATGGGTTTACATTAGCAAAGAAAATCTTAAGGGCGGGATACTTCTGGATGACTATGGAAAATGATTGTGGCCGATTTGTCCAAAAATGTCATAAATGCCAGGTACACGGAGATCTGATCAAAGTACCACCCCACAAGCTCAATGCGATGAGTTCCAGTTGGCCATTTGCAGCTTGGGGCATGGATGTTATTGGACCAACTGAGCCTGCTGCCTCAAATGGTCATACGTTCATTTTGGTTGCCATTAATTATTTCACAAAGTGGGTCGAAGTTGTTTCCTACAAAGCTGTGACAAAGAAAGTTGTGGCCGATTTTGTTGGCAGCAATTTGATATGTCGTTTTGGAGTTCCAGAGTCTATCATCACAGACAATGGAGCAAATCTGAATAGTCATTTAATGAAAGAGATATGTGAACAATTCAAAATTACCCACCGCAATTCAACTGCATATCGCCCTCAGATGAATGTAGCTGTGGAAGCTGCTAATAAGAACATCAAGAGGATACTGAGAAAGATGATTGACAACTACAAATGTTGGCATGAAAATTTGCCTTATGCTTTGCTAAGTTACCGCACCACAATCTGAACCTCAACTGGAGCAACTCCTTACCTATTAGTATACGGAACAGAAGAAGTGATACCAACTGAAGTTGAGATACCATCTTTAAGGATTATTCAAGAAGTTGGATTGAGCGATGCCGAATGGATTTGTGATCGATATGAGCAATTGACATTGATTGATGAGAAAAGAATGAGTGTTGTTTGTCATTGCCAGTTGTATCAACAGAGAATGACTCGCTCTTTCAACAAGAAAGTAAGAGTTCGAACATTTGATGTAGGCCAATTGGTGTTGAAACGCATTTTCCCTCATCAAGAGGAATATAAAGGGAAATTTGCACCTAACTGGCAAAGACCATATGTTGTCCACAAAGTACTATCAAGAGGACCTTTGGTTCTAGCAGAGATGGATGGTAGAGTGGCGAAAAGCTATCAATTTAGATGTTGTCAAGAGATACTACATTTGAAGGATGCTACTTCTTTCATTTATTTCGCAGTTTGTTTGTAATCATTGTTGCATTTATGTTTTGAAACATTCCCCTTGTACTTGAACTACATTCGACCTGAATTCCCAAGAATGAGATATGTATGCGGTCTATGTCGGCCTCGGTCATTTCCTTATCAAAATTTTCTATTTTGAAAATTTTCGAGATGGGAACTACGTTTGACCTGATTCCTGCCTCAACGGGATACGTAGGCGCCACAAGGGTTCGGTCATATTCCCAATAAGATTTCCATTTTCCTTCATAATGGAAACTAGGACGGAATTTTTTAGAGGACCTCAAAAATTCTACAAGAAGAGTCATCTCCTACAAACAAGAGTCAAGGATCATATCAAAATGTGCAACTAGGAATAATTTTGAGGAGATATCAAATTCAAGACTCTCGTGATCATCATCAGATTTGTTTTTGAAACATCTAACTGGGACAGAATTTTTGAGAAGGACCTCAAAAATTCTATCAAGGATACTCGGACCTTCGAAGTCAACTTCAATTGCCTCACATCGATGTGTTCTTAAGGGTTTTAAGTTGCCAACAAGCTACCTATCATGTCAAAATCTGAGACAAAGGGTTTTGTTTGTGTCGTGCATGTCGTGACAGTTAATTGGCAGAGATTTCCTTTAAAACAATTTTTTTTAAAAAAAAACCTTCATACCTAGTAAATGTTTTAATTCAAATATGATCTTGTCTTTTGTCTACTGTGATTCATTGGATCTACCAGACAAATTTCCAGAGATAACGAGACCAGGAGCAAGGTGACCTCAACACAGATCAGTGTTCCCAAAACTAACATGTTTTTGTGGATGCAGGGTATAATAAGATCATCAAAGGAGCTATATTTATCAACCAACTAGTTCAGGAGAACATGTCCAGCAAATATCAATTAGTGAGTGTAACATCTTCGTTTGATCAAAGAGGTATTTGACAGATTGAAGATTAGTATCTACTGCTTAAGGCTACGAGATACCGATGAAAATGATGTTTTGATCAAAAAGTACCTATCATCATATCAAATATTGATGAAAGACGACGTTCATAATCAAAATCATATTCAAATTACCGAGAGGGCCATTGCATATTCAAATTGTCGAGAGGGCCATCATATTCAAACTGCCGAGAAGGCCATTCATATGCAAATTGCCAAGAGGACCATTGCATACCAAAACGCCGAGAGGGCTATTACATATCAAACCGCCGAGAGGGCCATTGCATATTCAGACCATCGAGAGGACCATCCTATACAAATGCCAAGATGACCATTGCATATTCAAATTGTCGAGAGGATCATCATATTCAAACTGCCGAGAAGGCCATCATATTCAAACTGCCTAGAAGGCCATCATATTTAAATGCCAAGAGGGACATCATATTCAAACCGCCGAGGGGGCCATTTATATTCAAGCTGCCGAGAGGGCCATCATATTCAAGTCGCCGAGAGGGCCATTGCATATTCAAAATGCTGAGAGGACCATAGCATATTCAAAATGCCGAAAGGGCCATTGCATATTAAATTGACGAGAGGGCCATTCATATTCAAATTGCCGAGAGGGCCATCATATTCAAACTGCCGAGAAGGCCATTCATATGCAAAATGCCAAGAGGGCCATTGCATATTCAAAGTGTCAAGAGGGCCATCATATTCAAATTGCCAAGAAGGCCATTGCATATTCAAACCGCCAAAAGGGCCATTACATATTCAAACCGCCAAGAGGGCCATTACATATTCAAACAGCCCAGAAGGCCATCATATTCAAATCGTCAAGAGGGCCATTGCATATTCAAACTGTCGAGAAGGCCATCATATTCAAATTGCCGAGAGGGCCATTTATATTCAAATTGCCGAGAGGGCCATCATATTCAAACCGCCGAGAGGGCCATTCATATTAAACTGTCGAGAGGGCCATTCATATTCAAATTGCCGAGAGGGCCATTCATATTCAAAATACCAAGAGAGCCATTGCATATTCAACTGTCGAGAGGGCCATTGAATATTCAAATTGTCGAGAGGGCCATCATATACAAATGACGAGAGGGCCATCATATACAACCGCCGAGAAGGCCATCATATACAAATGCCAAGAGGGCCATTCATATTCCAACTGTCGAGAGGGCCATCATACTTAGACCATCAAGAGAACCGTCAACGTATTACATCAGTCATTTTTACTGCTTTGATATCAAAAAAAGAGTACATTGAAGAATTATGTCGCAAATATGAGACACGAGTTTTATTTGTTTTACGTCAAACTGAAAGAAGTCATCGTTAAATATTCAAGGAGAGCAATTAAGGGTGAAAATGGTAAAAGGCACTCTCTCTCCATTTGAATTATATTTTACGCTACTGAGTTTTATCTCAATCTTTGTCGATAACATCCAAGAGGATGAATTCTCAAACCAAACCACAGGTGCGGACGACATCAAAAGGGATGCAACACAACGTGGAACTTTTCTTAGCGTGAACTGGGACATAGTCCGAAGAGGGGTATCAAACTCTTAGGACGCGAGCTGAGGAGCGATTTCCACCACAATCAAACCACACCCCTATCAAAAGGCATATGGGTATTCCTTTTGGTTTATCCATTACAATTTCGCATCCAGAAAACTTTTTACTCTTACCGGAGGCAACTTTCCAATCTGAGTGGCAATGCACCAAGAGCTTTGGAAATTATGTCCGTGTAAGTTCTTAATTATGGGTGTGAAGCGTGCCACATTCATGGCTAATAGGTTGCAAGCCTCTTTTTCATACTCGACTTACTTGTCACTCCTCCAAAACCAAAGGTTATCTTGCATAATAGATTTCCTTTCCAACCAATCGAGTCGAACTACAAACAGCCTGATTCCTAAGGTTTAAGGATATGTAGGCAGGCTCAATGTTGAAAACTCGGCTGTATTCCGACATTCTCTCTCAAATCTTATTCTTGAGCATTCTGATCTCTTCATAATTCGATATTTGGATGACTTGAATTTTTTCGAAATCGTGCGTCAAATCAAGCGTATTGAACTACAAGTGGCCTGAATTCTCATATTGCCTGAGATATGTAGGAAACCCATTTCAGGGGTTCGGCCATGGTTTCTAAAGTCCGTACCAAAATTCCTTTTCTAAGGATGAAGATGTGATCGGTCAAAATTGGATTCGTCAATTTCATTCACCTCGAATTGCTTTCATCAATCCAAGTCAAACGAGGGACAGTTGTTGACACCCAATTTTGAACCTATACAATGTACATTAATCATCGAGCTTCTTAAATTCCAAACGATTTGAAATAGTTGACTTTATAAAATTTTAAGTACTTTTTAAGTCATTTTAAGTAATTCCGTCATTTTTACGATTGTTAAACTAATATATATATTCTAGTTAATTTTGTATGTATTTATGAATATTCGAAAATCATCTCAAAAATATTTTTACATATTAGTTAAATATTTTATTAATTTACTTTAAGTTATAGTTATAATTTCAAGTTAATTAGTTTGTAATTAAATTAATTATTTTATAATAAAGTTAATTATTTTATTTCGTTAAGATTAAGAAGCTTGTTAATTAATTAACATTAATTCATCTTATTTAAATTTTAACCAAATTTGCTAATTAAATTCAATTCGGCTAATTTCTTAACTCCACGTGGATAATTGATCCTATTACCAACCTAACCCATTTTCATTTCCAATTTTCAGCCAACTTTGGCCCAAACTTTGAGCCCAATTCCCTTAAGCCTTTATCAGCCCACCAAAGACAAATCCAATACTAAAAGAAACCCAGCAATTCCAAAATAACCCAACATTACATTCAACAGAAAAAACAACCAGCATCGCAGCAAACTCAACCGCCCGTGCATCCATCATATTCACGCATCTTCTTCCTCAGCGAAAATCATGGAGAACCCAGAAATCCAGCGAAAAATCCCAACTACCCCGCAGAACCCATAACCCTAGCAACTTAATCGATCAAATCGTTGTTCCCTTTCCCCCATTTTCAGAGATCTTCAAATCTCATTCACTGTTGATCTTGAAAAGGAGGAGAGAAATTCAAACATTTTTGTTTGAATTTCTCCAACGGATTTCCCCCCAAAATGGCCCCAACTTCCCCTATAAATATCAAGTGATGGGAGAAGGTCTAAAAAAAGGGGTTTTGTTTTAAAGGTTTGGGAATTGGTTCAAATTTCCCTGTTCCAGTCTAAACCAGTGTAAGAAGTTGTTGCTCTCTTTGGCTCGTATTATTCTCAATTCGCTGCCCCCAAAAAGGTAACACTCCTTTTACGATTTTAGTCTCTTTGTCTTGAATTAACAGTAGTTTAATTTTAGGGTCTGATTACGTGATCTTGCTGTAGACTGATGTGAGGATGGTATAATAAGCGATGGTTTAACTTGTTTATTATTCATGTTGTTGTGTGGTTTTGTTTTACTCAAAATCTTAGTGATTATGTTTGGCTTTGAGTCGGTTTCTTCCTATTTTCTTTTTGTTTCACCATTAATCTCGTCTGCTAAGCTATGAGAGTTGCGGTTCAATCGTGAAGTTCGAAATAATCTTGTATAGATTATTTTGATTTCCATTAATAGATCATTTCTTACTCTTGTTACTTGCAAACTAAGTGTTGTGACTCGTACATTGATAGTTGTATCTCTAAAATCTCTTGTATAAGGGAGTTGGCTGTATATTCTCGGTTATCTCGTATATAAGTCAACAAAATTGATTATTTCAAGTTGTGGGAGTGTTCGTTTCATGTCAACTTGTCTTGTTATAACTTTGAGTCCATTTTAGTAGTTGTTACTTTAAAATGATTTTTAAATTTTTGAATCTTCTTAGTTTTGGTTCGGAATGCGTCTTTGTCCAGCCTAGAACTAATCTTCTTCTTGGTTACTGCATATGCTCTTTTAACTTGATATTCTCCTAAGCTTATGGGCTGCTTAATTTCTTTTTTAATATCCATTTGAATCTCAACTTCTCGTTGTGCATGTTTAGCTTAATCTTCATGCTTGCACATCTTTCGATTTATCGGTTTAGGTTTCTTATACATATATGATCTCCTATATTGTGATGATGGTATTCTCTATATGAAGTAAGCTTATTTAAGCTAAAATGTAGTTGTTCTTGAACATTTTCAGTGTCCAGCCTTAATGGAAATATAAAGTTACTTTTTTTTGCATTCGAATATAGCTAAATGTCACTCTTTTGCTGATTGTCATGTTGTTCGATGGTCAATGTCAATTCAATGTTATCGTAATCGTTCCTTAACACCATGAAGTATTTGGTTAGCTTGATGTTGCACTTGCTCTTTCACTTTGTGGTCTATCTTTTGAATCCCCAAGTTAACCGTATTTTTCAATTTCAATTGTTAAAAATGCCTTCTTAACTTGCTTATTTCTTTGGGTTCTCTGCCTGTACCCATTTGCAAGTTTTAACTTTTATGTTCCTTTTGTGTAGTATTTTATGTTGTCCTAGGTTTTGATTTGGTGAGATTGCTTATAGATAAGAGTGGTTAGCTTTACTGTAAATATTGATTTAGCCTTGCTTGCCTTTTTTTTTACTGTTAAGAGTACTGTATTTAAGTTATTATTTGTGTAAAATGTCTAATAATCCTGACATGTTGCTATGATGTTAATATAAATAGAATGCTTTAGTTTTCACATGCTTCCAGCATCTATGTTTGTCCTTAAATTAATGAAGCATGATTTGTTATTTATGGTTGTTTAAATTTAATAAGCTAATTCATTTTGTTACAGTTTATTAGTTGTTTCTTGTGATATGCCTCTCATCATTATTGGTTCATGATTTTGAGTTGTTTAAATTACCGTTCTAATTCTTATCGTCTTATTTTCCTTACATGAACCTTTCCGAGTCTGTGGTGGACTCTTTCTCTTTTGCATCCTCGAGATGAGCCATACATGTTCAATTTTTCTCCATCGAGTCAGCCTAAAATGTCTTCG